GGGGTTTTTTTTTTTGTGTTTTTTTTTTTGGGGGGGGGGGGGGGGGGGGGGGGGGGGGAATAAAAAACTTAGCTTGATATGGATAGTATTAAAAGTTCTGTTTTGTTATTTCTCCAACCCATTTTCTCATTTTGTAGTTACACTGAGCATATATATAGATGAAGAAAAGACGCCTGGTTTAGGTACAGTAGATGAATGGGTATATGTTACGGATAAAATATAAATATATAGGTGTTAGTGTACGTGACCAGTTTATGAATATTTCAAGTGTTATGTCTTTGATCAAAAGATGAAGTAGCTCTGCACACAAGTCGTTGAACGTAAACTGGAAATAAATACATCTTTCATTGTATAACTTAGGCAGATGAGATGTTTCAGAAAAAGTATGTTGATTTTTTATGTCCAGTTATGCACACATTAATCTTTATGTTCAGTCAAATAACCCTTTGCCAAGCAGAGCCTCACGAAATCTATTAAGATTCGGGGTCCATCTTAATAAGGTTAACCTTATTAAGTGGAGAATCCCAATATCTTTATAAATTGGTATTTATTTCGGTATTAAACTGATGTGTGATAACATATCCCTTAACAGGCTCCCTCAAGATAGTGGCTCATTTGAATAGACCAATCTTAATATTTACGGGGTGACTTTGATACCATGTTAAGATTTGGGGTCCATCTTAATAAGGTCAACCTTATTAAGTGGAGAAGCCCAAGATCTTTATAAATTGGTATTTATGTCGATATTAAACTGATGTGGGATAACATATCCCTTAACAAAATCTTCCTTCTTTGCCTTCAATTACATCTGAAAATGACTTGTTTGTTCCGACAACTTCGGACCATATTATTTGAATTAGCTGATCTTACAAGATCAATTGGGCGGGCTGGTTGGGAATGGGTGATTAGCGGAGAAAAGAATTGCTGAGAGATAGATTCTACAAGTTGGTTAGGATCGATGAGTGGCGCTCTTCTTTTCCTTCCCTGCTTGAATGAAGGAATAAAGCATGATTGCGAATTACACTAACTTGACCCGGGAATTTCATTAGACCTCGAATGCGCTCCCTATGGGAAATATATTGATTAGCGACGCTCTTGAGCCATGTCTTTGTCGCCTAGGCTTACCATTATTTCATTTCATTCAATTGGATGGGATCATGTCATATAATTTAATGCATGATATGGATGCAGAGCGAGGTGCATTTTAGTTTTCCAGGTTTGAGGGATTTGATTGTAAGTAATCTTAAGCAAATGTATAGGTTCATTTAATTTACTATTGCTGGTTAATGCAATTTAGTCTAAATATACTTTATATGGTATTCTTTAAATATGAGTTTGTTTTGCAGTGCAAACCATTCTCTTGATTGAATGAGAGTATCTTAGACGCCATGGATGAAACAGTAAGTGATGAGCTGCCTGAAGCGGGAGCAGATTACATTACACATGTTCGGAGTAAAGATTGTGAGTTCTCATTGAAGCCTGGCAGCTCCAGCATGCTGGAACACAATGAAATGGAAACACCTTGTGACGATGATTATCAAGAAAAATTGAACTGCTTAGTTTCGGGTACCTTGGATGCAAAGAACCTAGAAAGAATTGGTTCTTCTGAACATGCTAGTACCAGTCCGCGTTGCATGGATGATGCTGGGATCATGGTTGAAGAGTTGACTTTGAGAAATTATGACTGTAAAAAGTCAGCTGTTGTGGACGTTTCGAACAATAGAGATAGAATGCGAACTAGGCATGGATCAGGAATTAACTGCTTGCAAGGACAAATAGGGCACAATGAAAAAGTTCGAGCAAAACTAAGTATCTTGGACGATGAGAATAACACTTCCTGTCCCAGGTTTCAAGATCAACAACCACTGTATTTCAATCGTAACACAGTGATGAGCAGTTCATCCAATAATTTTGATAAAGGCACATCAAATGAACTGTTCTACCCATCTGGAACCACTGGACCAAAAGTTTTATCAAAATTTGGGTTCTCAGAGTACTCCACAAAAGGTATATTGAGAGAAGAGGGATTAATGCACCAAAACTCAGTTTATATACGAGCTGGTAGTGAGTCTGTTCACCATACACGCACTAAATCTGTGACTGCTGACTGTGTATGCTCTAAACCTGAGACCACCAGCTTGGTTGATTCTGTTGCACCATTGGATTATACTTCCGCTACTTTTTCAAATCATGACTGCGTTTCTGAACCATGGACAAATCGTAATTCTGATTTTGTAGGTGACGGAATCAGTTTGAGAGAATGGCTGGAAGCAGGTCGAAATAAGTCAAATAGAGTTGAGAGCTTGAGTATATTTAGACAGATTGTGGCTCTTGTGGATTTTAGGCATTCTCAAGGAGTTATGCTGCAAGACTTGAGGCCTTCCTGCTTCAAGTTGTTGGGATCATACGAGGTGTTGTACCTTGGGTCTTCTGAACACAATGGGGTCACCAAAAGTGTTAC